TTATCAAGTCCATTTTATCAGGCGCTTTTCTGTTCATTTCCCAGACAGCAAAATAAAAAGTGACATCAAGAAAATAATTTGTGTTGGTCTTACTGTTCTCTTTACCTCTTGGACTGCAATTATAATCATTACAATAGTTGAGAAAATTTCAAATAAACCAACATTTTACTCCACCAGCATTATAAACTGAAATTTCCTATGATCTATTTCAGAGTGATGAAATCTAATTCTTTATGGAAATATATTTCATGAATTTTAAGTAACATACGTAAGGCGATTCATGGCGCGTAGCTTTGCAATTCAGTCCGCATATGATTTGCTTTTGTTGGAGGATTGGTGTTCACCGGTAGTTCTCTGGCTATTGACGGAATTTCAAGACGAGTTGCAGATGGTAGTCGATTCAGTGGTCCTTTGTTTCTCCTCTGTGGCTGTACATTTTAAATGTATTTCTTTCAAATCATTCACCTTTCCACATCTAGAAATGCATTATAAGAGTCAATGTTTGATGCTATAAACATGGTATCATTCTGGTTGGACCGCTTAGCCTAAAGACAACTTTAGAACACAGAGACAGGAGTTTTATCCGTTGTTATTGATTATCTCATTTCAACTAATGTAAAATAACCGTATTCCGTGTGATAATAAATACGGGTTCACCTTCATTTTTGTGTTTCTTAGTGTTGGTTCTGTATTAATATAACATGCATTATTCAAATAGGTATCTGGAAAATACATTATTCCATGACCAGCTGTTCTCACTGAAAATAAAGTAGGCAGTGGAATTTAGATATCATTGAATGACGCAAAAATGAAGTGTCGGGAGAAGGTGTATATAGTGACCATAGTATTGAATAATTTACTATATGACTCTTGTTTGTTTATATGCTACTACTGACATTTCAAAGCTAAATACTTTTTGCAAAGGTCAATAAGTATTTCATTAACATTATGTAAGTTAAATGGGTGGTTCAGAAAAATGATATAAGTGTATCTGTTAATTCTATTTTCGAAGTGCCTAGTTGATTTTGTATGCAACAATGTCCAACCTACAGCAGTAGTACAGTTACCTACCTAGGGATTGAAAAACTTCATTATTATTTCTATGCGAAAACAATAAGTAGGGATATTCAGTCATATTTCTTCATTTACAAATATTCACTCTTACGCCAAATGACTAAGCCACACTAACTACTGGTAAACGAATGAATTCTACCTAATTTCAACATTAGTTGTCTAATTAGTGAAATGTGAACTAATAAATCAATACTCTTTCTAAAATAGTTCATATCGCACAAAACACAACGTCTGATGGTATAAGACATACACCTAACAGCTCGGATACACTAGAACTAATATGTACGAATTCCAGTTTACTAATAGTCCTATACATTTGGATAGCTCAACAACACCTGTCATACCATCAACTAGAAATTGTGGACAACCATGTGGTCACTTACGCTGACTGACACAGGGAAACACATACCCATTAGATTCATTTAGGTATGAAATAATAATAGACATAAAGACATTTTGATACACAGTGATCTCTGCCTCAACGATGGTTAAGGAAGCTGAATGACTTTGGCGATGGCAGATATAGTGTGAGCTAGAACTTAAAATAGGCTGAAATTGTGAGTGTTTCAAAGTTTGAGTCAATAGGCTAGAAGTATCACTTAAAAATTTGCAGAGATACATATACTCAAATGTCTGTCTTTTCAACCAACGGCAGACACGAAAATTTGGAATCCACTTTAAATAAAAATTTGTAATAATACAGTTTCTCTTAGTGATATTCTGAAGAAGTACATCAATAATTATTTTATTGGAATTATTTACATGAAGTAACAATCAGCCAACAAATACATTTAGATACTCATTAATGTAGAAGAAGACCGTACTCACCCTCTCTTAGAACAGAGGAAATAATCATAGTGATGGAACTGTTCAGTACATTGATAACTATACTTGCTGAGTGATATCTCATTGAACGTTGACAAGACACAAAAGACTCTTTTAGCTTCGATTAAATAATACCAGACATGGTAAAAAAACAATATCTGTTCCCTCCCATGAGGATAAGGATATTGTGCAGCATTCTACTCATTCTAAAGGTATGCTTGTGGAAGGTGTTCATAAAAATACAGGACCTTCAAGTCTCTAAGAATTTCATCACCTGTTAATACTATTATACTGACAGCGTCAAATATTTAGTGGAATAGTGTCTTCCACAAACAACCAGTCACAGTCAGGGTCATTGGTAGAGACGACTTTATCAATCCTAAAGAAATACGAAAGCTCACATCCCACTTAAGTTATCGCCGAAGGTATTGCCTAGATTAACAGTAAGAGCTTCGCAATCAATCCATCCAGCTGAGGTAATACAAAAACATGAGAGTGTTGTTTCAGTCGAAGTAGGATTTAGCTAAGAAAAAGTTAGAAATAAAAGGAAATGAGCAAATCAAGCGGACCCGGAGACGACAGCAGATATGCTGACTCCATTATTGCAAAAAGTCTGGAAAGGTGCCCACTGACTGGAGGAAAGGTTACCTCGTGAAACTACCAAAGAAGGGCGACTTAGGACTCTGCAAGAACTGGCGAGGAATCATGCTCCTGTCGACGCCAAGTAAAATTCTGAGTCACATCATTCTGGAGAGAATAAAGGACGCACTGGATACAGAACTCCGACCAGAACAAGCTGGATTCACGAAAGGCGAATCATGTTCTGACCAAATTGCAACTCTACGCATCATCATCACGGAACAAAGCAGGGAATGGCAATCAAACCTCTACCTCAACTTCCTTCATAGACTCTGAGAAGGCCTTCGACAGCGTTGCAATTTGGAAACTATTCGAGTACTACAGACTACCCCAAATATTCATCAACCTTATTCAACAGCTGTACGACAACGGCACATGTCAAGTGATCCACAACGGAAAACTCAGCGAGGCTTTTGGAGTAAACACAGGAGTCAGACAAGGGTGCTTATCATCACCAATGATATTCCTAATTGTGGTGGACTGGATTATGCGTCAGACAGAGGGAAACGAGAAGACCTGGAGAAGAAGATCCTGGACCAACGCAAAGAACCTAGAAGACCTGGATTTCGCGCGTGGATGATTCATATTTGATGTCACACAAAATCGAAGACTTACAAGAGAAAACCAAAAAAAACTGGTCGAAGAAGCAGCAAAGACAGGACTCCAGGTGAACATAGACAAAACGCAGGTTATGAAATTATCCAACCAACAACAACAACAGCAACATCCAGCGCCAATCATCATCAACGGGAGGGATTTGAAAGAGGTTACTTCATTCACTTATCTAGGGAGCATTGTCTCAACTACAGAAGGAATGGATGAGGATGTCAAATCGAGAATCGGAAAGGTGAGAAACACGATTATCATCCTGAAACCAATCTGGAAATATTCGTCATTCAGCATCAACAACAAAATTCGGATTTTCAATACAAACGTCAAGTCACTTCTTCTATACGGATCAGAAACTTGGCGGGTCACAAAGAATATTTCCAACAGCCTGTTGCAGACCTTTATCAACAACTGTCTTCGTTCTATACTGAAGATTAGATGGCCGGAAAGAATCACAAACAAGAAGCTATGGGAACAAACAAAACAAGAACCTCATGCAATTCTTCCATTAATAAACTTGAAAAAAGCAAGAACAACAATTGTACCAGGATAATATGAGCTCAGCTTTTATTATTTCGAGGATTCTTCTCAACTGGTTACAACCTGAACGATAAAAAATATGAATTACATTACATTAAAGATTTGAACATACTTTTCCTCGATCACAAGGAGTAATTGGTAGGAAGTAAAAGTAACATTAGTCCGGAATGATTTAACTAATTAAGAGTTGCAAACACTGACTATTTATAGAATAATTCAAATGAACTGTGATCAATATTTGACAGTTTATAAATATTTATAGAATAATTAGGCAATTAGGCTTGGAAACAAAAACAGAGTTGCATATATATGTGTGTATAGAAACAAGGTTTAGCTAGACGGAGCATAACAAAAAAGGCAGATTACGTAACTAAAGAAAATGCTTTATCTAATAACCAATAGAAAAAAAGGAAGAGAAAAGAACAAGAAAGGGTGAGTTATGTTTAGATGAGAGGGTAGAGTTTTCTAAACAAGAAAAAGGTGACTCATACAAGTTGTATATTTTGTTGTCACCAGGGCAGTGCAAGATTCACCACTGTCTCATTCTGCGTACATAGATTTGGTTTAAGTCGTCTGAAAGTAATTGCTTCAGCAAAGCGTAGCAAGTTAGGTTTCTTTTGCTTGTTGATTATTTTGAATGACTTCAAGTTGTCTACATTATAACCAGTGTCTAATAGATGACACGCAATTGCACTGTTTAATACTTGTGAACCTTTCAGTCTCAGGTTCTTTGGTATGTGTTCAGAAATGCGGACAATAACCCTTCTCTCTGTTCTTCCGATGTATGTGCTTTGGCACGTACCAATCGCTCAACAAATATGCAGGAGAAAGTGGAGATGGATTGGACACTCACTGAGGAGGCCGCTGGGTGACATCGCGCGTCAGGCCATAGCTCGAGTGGAACCCGAAAGGGAAGCGGCGAGTGAGACGTCCAAGGGTGACATGGAGGAGATCGTGTGAGGAGGAGCTGAAACAGTATGGACTAACATGGATGCAGGTGAAAAGTACAGCAGAAGACAGAAGCAAGTGGAGACGTGCAGTTGAAGCCCTATGTTCCACTAGGAACCCAAGGGAACAATAATAAATAATAATAGGGAAATGAAAGCTTTACAAGTAAGCCATCCAGCTCATTGAACAGAACAACATAAAAAACAAAAGTTATTCACAATGGTAACTTTATCAGTTGTCAACTATTTCATGCTTCTGAAAATGTTTATCTCCCTTTTAATATAAGGAAAACGGAGGCTGCTGACTGTTTCCCAGTGAGAGTAAATACGCTCAACTTTTTCATCAGAAAAGAAATAAATATTTTTAGATATCGGTATTTTTATTTTTACCAGCAAGTTGATATTATTTTAAATACATCATTTCGTTTACATATGACTATATATACAAACACTTAAATTGTTAAGAATTGTTGTATAAAATTTTCTTTATGAGGAAACAATATTATCTGGATTTCCCTGTAATGTCAGGAGTCGCACCACATCGAATTAATTCGCATAAAATATTTGCTATATTACGACAGTCATCTGAAACACAAAAAAAAAAGAATTTCGTGAAAAAATTGCAAGAAAATATAGGTTTCCATTCTGCGTATTAACCACTCGTCAGCTGTAAATCAGGACAGAATCTAGTAAGTAAATATAGCATCTCGTAATTTTTGTTTATCTTACCTATGGACTTTAAAGCCATAGACAAACGTGATATTGGGTCTAGTGGTCAGCGTAAGTTATTAACATATTATTTTGAAGTAGAAGTCACTTATGAAACAAAACGTGTATTGCAGGAGTATGTGCAGTGAATATTTCTGTTTATTTCACGATATTCTTTCTCCCCTTTTCGGTTTTCTTTCTTCTTACATGATTGTCCCATTTTGATGAAGCATGCCAATGACCTGACTACTTATATTCCGGTTAATTCTCAATCAGATTTTTCCAAAATGAATAACTTTTTATTACAATTTAGTCAGTTAACCTTGTCAAATGGTTTCAAACTAATTACCTCCAAATGCAAGGTTGCTAGTTCCGCTTTCAGAAGCAAGTGCGACTTACATGAATTGATTTATTTCCATGACACCACTACCATAGATATCACTGAAGTTGAAACTAAGTTGTATGTTGAATACTTTGGCCTGAGTATTTCCTCTGATCTTCCCTGGTCTTCCCACATGTTAGTTTCTAGAAATATATTTCGGTTAACGTTCTATGTAAGGAAGTTAAGACAATCTGGTATCGCTCAGTCTCGACTTTTATCCTACCTATTCTTCTTTATTGCTTCTCCTTAATCTTTTCTGGGTTATTTAACAAAGACTTTGTTACACTGAGAAGGGCAATAAAAGCTTTCAGTAGGGTAGGTGAAATATCACTAAACCAACTTGTTAATACTGTTGTAAACAGACAAATAGACTCGTCCAAGAAATTAACGAATATTATCTTGTCGGAGCCTGAGAATCCTCTTTATACACAACTCTCTCCTTGAATCTTATCAGATAGAACTAAAAGTAACAATACAGGTCAGAGTATCAAAAGTGATTCTGAACATAAGTTAACTAAATCTATTTCATTGAATTTCTTAATATGTGCTTTGATTTATAAAAAAAATGTAGTCATGAATACAGTTAGAGTGAAGCAAAGCAAGATCACCTCCATTTCTTTAAAATAAGAGCATTTATATTTTATTAACCGGAATATACAAAATGGATGCATTAGTATGCAAATAATATTTCCCTTCATACCGTACAAAAACAAGACAGTAAGAGATACAAAATTAAACTAAAGGGCATGGAAAATATGTTTAGTTTGGTTCACTATATACAATCACAATATCTGATAGACAGGCAACTTAAACAACATTAAAACTGGAAGGGAAAAGGAGGAGAAAAGTGGAAAACGATGAGAAAAAAGTAGGACAAATATAACACAGCAAAGTTCAAAAGATTTCTGCAATCAGCACCAGCTTTTAACGACAAAACATGATAAGGAACCTCACGGTTCATAAACATAAGCGTATTGATATGCATTGGAAACCTGCTGCAATCCAACTGCAAATATCAACCAATTAAATTACGACTAATCCAAGATACTAATGCTATCTCAGAAAACCTCAAGCATAACTTTGAAGGATGTAAATGCTAAATACATTTAATCAAATATGTTACTTGATTATGACACTAATTCATAAAATTTAGTTTCTACAGTAAGCTTTCTTATTAAGCGTCCATGTCTAGGCCCTGTAATCAACTTAACTTCATGCATCTTACGATGAACAAAGCGTTATATTACTTATCACAGTTTACGCAATCTATGCTTAGTCGACAGGCGTTAACTAACTCTTGATACTTGGCAAAATAACCTGTTAACTAGGTATAAATTCCCGTAGAATTCTGCTTCTTAAAATCCACATCAAGTAGTCGGTTAAACTTTACGGCGATGTTAGCCCATAAAACAAGAATAATATAAGAACAATCTAATATCAAGAAAATTCATAAACCATAGTCCCAATAAACAGCGCATTTATAACGATATCATGAATAACAAGAGTAGAAGATAATAAGCCCTTACGAGACGTGATACTTAATAATGCAAACGGAACGACATAATTTTCATCTTACAAGTAGGATAGTAACAAAATGCAATAGGCTAACGTTATGAAATGCAAGTCTGCTGAAGAGACTGTAGAAACGATGATACGCCTAACCAACTATTATTTGAGTTAATGCTTTTCTTAACAAACCATTACTGATGTTCTACTACTGCTTTCTTTGTGTTTAACCTCATACCTCAGACAGAAAGCTAACAAAAGCACCAGAGGAAAGCGTAGCGATGAAAGGGATGAACTTCAATATTAGTAACAAAAGATTAAAACCTGAAGATATTATACCTGCAATTGAAACACCACTAGAAGGACATGACAAGCAAAAAGCAGAATTAGTACGGGCACAATGTGCATTAACTTTAAAAAAGCAAAAAGCAGAAAAGCTAAATGTGATGAAGGAGGAACTAAAAGCACTTCAATACATAAAAGCAGACAAAGGAAACACAACAGTACTACTCAACAAAACAACATACAGTGAAAAGATGAATGAACATTTACAATCTGGACCATATACCCTAATGACGAAGTCATCAGAAACAATCACAAACAAAACAATGAAAGAAACAGCAAAGGTAGTTAGACAGATGAAAGAAATAATTGGTAAGTCAAAATGGTTTGAAATTATGCCCGAATCATGTAATATGCCTAGGATATATGGCAAGATAAAATTACATAAAGAAGGATATCCAATAAGACAGATTGTAGACTTGAGAAACACACCAACGTATATGCTGGCAAGATTTCTCTCAACAATACTAAGACCGACAAGAGACAACTCAAAAGCTAGAATAGTAGATTCATTTGAATTAGTGAGACGACTAAAAACCACTAAAATAGAGGAAGAGGAAATACTAGTCAACTTTGATGTATACAGTCTTTATACTAAAATACCCATTCAAATGGCCATGAATGCACTGAAAACGAGACTAAAAGAAGATAATGGCCTAAAACACAGAACACAGTTATCCGTAGAAGAGATAATAAAAGGATTGGAATTATGTCTTATAAGAACATATTTCACATTTGAAGGAAAAATATACCAACAAAATAAAGGAGTAGCTATGGGGTCGTCCATCTCATCAATAACAGCTGACATATTCATGGATTTTTGGGAAGAGAATGCTCTTAAACCATTCAGGTCATCAATAAAATCTTGGTGGAGATATGTAGACGACGCGTTAGTAATAGTGAAAAAAATGACGTTGAGAAATTCTTCTTGCACATAAACAGTCATGTCGACTCAATAAAATTCACTATGGAAATAGAGAATGAAATTGGGGAACTGCCTATGTTAGACTGCAAAATACAAACAGTAACAGATGGTAGCATAAAAACGACGTTATATAGAAAAACTACACACTCTGGAAGATTCCTTGATTATCACTCAGCTCATCCACTCACGGTAAAACGAGGATTAATACAAGGTTTTGCAGACAGAATACGTAGACTCACAACAACACCAGAGGACCAGCGTAAAGAAATAAACGTCCTATTCAAAATGCTACTCGACAACAACTACCCAAAAGAATTTATCAAAGATAATATAAAAAAGAGGGTAAAACCGGAGAATGACAAGATGGAAGAATGCAAAAAAACAAGTTACAATACCATACAAAAATGGTACATCAGAGGTAATTCGAAGAAACCTCAAAAATATTGGGATTCGCACAACGTTTAAACCGACGAATCTAATTAAAAATAAAATAAATCAACTGAAAGATCCCATGAAGATGATGGATAAAAACAATGTGATTTACAAAATATCTTGTGCTGACTGTCCGACTAAATATGTGGGTCAAACGTCCAGATCACTCAAAATAAGAGTGAGTGAACATAAACGCCTAACTGAAGGTCAACCAACAGGAACACAAGCTTACAAAAATTTAGAAAAAAAAATTCATCTAAAGCTGCACATGCATGGGATAAAAACCACAATATCGATTGGAACAATGTTTGTATTCCAAAAACTAATATGAACAAATGGAAAGAGAGACTTATAACAGAATCTATATTCATTAGGGTCACACTGGATACATGTAATAAGGGTGACTCAGTACAACTGTCAACAACCTGGAACATAATTCTGAATACACAAAAATGAATGAACAAAAATGAACCATATATATGAGTACAAATCATAAATATGTCAACAAAACAATTCCAACAGTGGTGTAAACACGGGCAGTAATTTTGCTCGAAATATTACCAATAACACTGTGTGTAAACCACTGAAAAATAATTATACTTTATTTGATCTATTCCATTATGCTCAAACATTTTACTAACCTTAACTCATACTACTAGTCAATAAAAAGTAGTATGCGTTTGCTTTGTTGAATATCTTACTATGCCTTTCCACAAAATTAAACCTATTTTAATAGGCTAACATTCTATTTTGTCTACAAGAATCCTTTTCGTGTGGATAAACTGTGTCTGCTGTGCATTTTTAAGTTCCTCTCTCTTTTGAAACTTGTTTATTCTAACCCCCTTCCCATTCTCTGAACATTCGTGAATTTCTTCTATTTTTGTTACCGTGAATCGCTATTGAGAGAGGTCTGTTGATCCTTTTTTTGATGCAACTTGACAGTTTTTTGGATGGTATCTAGCCAAGACATCACAACATTTAATGTTTGTTGTTTATTATTCTAATGCGTTAATATGGTACCTTACGTTGGGCAAATCCTGTGTTCTAGATTTTATAGAAAAAAACAAAACAAGTAGTTTAGCGCAAAAACTGTTTTCGGCGAATTGCTTCTCACTGAACCACTTGTTTTCCTTTCGCATTATTGCCTGGATGAGGCTTACCGTAGATTGTACGTGCAACTTAGTCGTTTGGAGTATTTCATTTGAAGTTCGGGTGTTCCGGATTTATTCCCATATTCTGAAAAATTACTTCTCCGCAGAATGTTATGGATTTCTCAGAAGAAGTCTACACCGAACTTCTACAATCTACCGACTAACATCTATTCATTAACATTATGTATGCAAACAGGAAGACTCTGAACGAATCAATAGAATAACAATAATCATAATGGTTATATTATAACATACCAATGCCGCTATGATGTCGACCAATGTGTTTCAAGTTCAGTGTTGATAGCATAGACATCATACTGCTCGGAAAGTGACCCATCACATCACAATATACCTATGGATATGAGAAAATTACTTTTGAAACAAACATTTGACTGGCACAGAACTTTATGAATAATTTCTAATTTTAACAACGCTGATAGGTCTTACCTCTATCCTGAATATTGTTTAAAGCATATTCGTGCTATTTACATATTCATCTATCTGAAAATAGTTCAGCAATAAATGTCACGTTACGTTTGCTGAATTTCATTACTGTTTTACTCCTGAGTAAATGATTTTCCATGGTTCACCAGTGCCAAGTTTTGATTCGAATTCATATGTGAGAATACTGCAGAGACAAAAGATAAATTCGTGTTCTACAATTCATTTCATGTCACCCAATCTACCTACAACTATGGTGTGTACTTCTGACAAGAATTTGTGAGTGGTCTGTTAGTGACATCTTCTGGAAGAATCTTGAATGGCGGAGCGACGAATCAAGTTTCAAAGAAGAGAAATGAAGAGCATTGTAAAAACGACAATAAAAAATGCATGAAAGAAGGAAGACAACAGAAGCCGAATAAGAATAACTTTCGCTAACGGGAATTGAAATGTAAGGATTTTGTATTTTTTCGAGTAAACATTTCTGCTACCCAATACCGCTGTGTTTAACCAATACACGACAGCTCTGTCTTATAAGTAACTTTTCAGTGTCATCCTAGACAACACTCAAGATGAGCATTTGAAAGAGGATCTAATCTTATAAACATTTAGACCATTGATGTTACGAATTTCCTGGAATAATTTCGGCGCTGACTCACATTGAATGATTATAAGATTACTTAAAATAATCCCAGTGTGTTTAGAAGACAAAAAACGAGGTTATTCTGAGGATTTAATTATAACGTAAGTTGAAAAGCATTGCTAACTGCTTAGTTTACGCTAATTTAGGTAAGATATATACTGAAAGTAGCAAAGTTGAAACAGTGTCTCCAAAGACTCAATAGACAAACAGCATTCTCAACTTCATCATCAAACAAAATACTTTTTAAAGTATATATAATATTTTCTAGGAGCTAAGAGTATTCACGCCACAGTAATTAATATCTCATACGACATAAATGGCGTCATAATTGTAAAGGACAGCAGCTAGACAGAATACGCTACTGATAAAAGAGTAATCTAATTTTCAAGTGTTGGTTTGTAGGGATTTGATTGGTTACAGGATTTCATCATGAGCTAATTATTCACACCAACTGAATAACCAGGTGTACAGCTGTATATATATATATATATCGGATGTCATTTACGCAAGTTTTATTTTTATGGAATAAAAGACCAATAATGTAATGAAATGGTGCACTAACCTTTTTCAAATTAATCCACTGTTTAAAGTAGTCCGGAACAGCAATACCTAAATGTTTACACTGAGATACTAACCTGAATGAAAAAAAACAACAACAAAAAAATGGAAAGTTAATAAGTACGTAATTGTAAACAATAGTGAGCAAAACATGTCAACGTTCTTACTAACTAGGGTGTTGATTTGCTTTAAAATGGATATTCACAGATAACATATAACCACACTTACCCTAATGGATTCATTTTTGCAAGTGAAATAAGACCCTTTTATTTAAATTCAAATATTTTGAAAGTTCAAATTAAATTATAATCATCACAAGAATTCTAAATATCGCACAAAAACCCTCTTGGAACTGCCTTCCACCGACTGACAAAAATCAAGTCTGTTATTTCAGAAATGTATGGAAGTTTCAATGATGACATTTACAGGCCTGTTTAAGTCATCCAACCCCTTACTTAACCATTATGAATTCATTCATCCTTCCAGTCTTATCGTATAATACCACTAAAGTACCAATGTTCAGAGGTCCAGGGCGATAAAATGAAAAGAATTAGATAATTACAACCAGTGAAGTTGTAAATATATAGCTCTTTGTAACAAGTCTCCTTCAATCGTATGTGAATAAAGTAAGATGTGATGTAGAGAAAAGTTCTGTTGTCAGTCCTAGAGACAGGCGACCTGAGAAGGAGCTTAGTGACTTTATAATCTCGAAATGTCTGGCTATTTACTTTTATGCTACTTACTATCACAATAGTAAGTGGCTGCGTTTTCTCAAGTATATTTCCACTAGTCATAAAACAAAGCCATTAGTATCCAGTCTGATACTAGAAATCCATCCCGACAATAGTCTCCAAAACAGAATAATGAAATTCCTGGAACCGAAAAGAAATCAAACTTAGTGTGAGGTATCTTAAATCTCAAAACAGTGATAAAGAGGTTTGCACAAATTTTAAGCATTTAGATCAATGGTCAGCGATGCTGAGCAAATAGGAATTGGTTTTACCGTGTGTTGGTTTGCCACTACTGTTAACCATGTGATGAAATGTATGCCAAATCAGCCTACATGTCCATAGACGAATTACCCTAGAGATACTACTTCATTTTAGTGTATTTGAATATGTTTATAAGGAGTGCGAAAAGAAAGCCTTTTATCAAATCAAAATAATTGGCATCTTTTAGATTACAAAATCGACAAGTAAAGAAGGACGCCAGATTGTCAAAATATATATGCGCACATAACACTTGAGGGTACCTGGAAAACAAACTCAAATCTCTGAACATGGACTTTTCTTCTCTCTTTCCTTTTTAATTCGGTCAGTCAGTTTCTGACATAGAACTTTGCACATATGTGCGGCAGTTCAAGTCGCCACACTCCATGTAGCACACAAAGCAAGAGCAGAAAGTAGGAGAAATGCATAATAAAGACAGTAAACAGAGCTGTGAGAGAAAGGTAAAGTAATAACGAAGAACAAAACAGTTTATTTGGAAATCATAAGTCACAAGGAGTGGATGCATCTGCGCCACTGAGAACGATTTTGAGCCATTTCACCAATTGTTTCCAAGCATTGGTTTTACCGTCCCGAGGACCCCAACCAGGAAGTCTACACCTTCCTACGTAGCTGGCTTAGACTAACTGTTGTAGATTTCATTGACTGGTGCCATGTTTTCGTTTGACCGCCGCTAGCTCCTTTCCAGCCTGGCCCTATATCAGCTAACATTGCCGGTTGAGGAGGGCGATGACTAGGCATAGGTAGCACATGCCCTAACCATCTCAGTCGATGTAATCTCACAGTCTCGTCGACTGATTTCCCTGCCTTACCTAGCACTCGACGCATAACCTCAATATTGCTCACCTTATTATACCACTTCACGCGGAAGATAGAGCGCAGACACCTATGATCGAAGACAGCTAATCTTTTCATGTCCCCCACTCTCAATGGCCAGGTCTCACAGCCATAAAGGAGGACGGAGCGGACTGTTGAGCAGTACACACGCCCTTTGGTCGATAGTCGGATATCGCGTCTACGCCAGAGACGGCGTAAACTGGTATATGCGAAACTAGCCCTCTGTATTCGTGCTGAGATTTCGTCGGAGATCAACCCGTTGGAGCTGATGGTACTTCCCAAGTAAGTGAAGCGATCAACGTGCTCTATATCTTTTTAATTAAACCTAATTGATGGTTTTTGAATGCAGCCCAATGAAGGAACAACTTTTTATTATGTACAAGCAGAAGTCTTGGTATGCTAGAACAAAGTAGAATGAATGGCAGGTGTTAATAAACGAACTATCAGTGTATAATTCATGGATGGTGGTGATGACGATAAACACTATTACACCAGAATCCTTTACAGTGTCTGATGATATATATAATGATATATAACTGTGGTCAAGTATTCAACTCTACTGAACTACGACAGGAGTTCAGTTAGCTATTACTAAGAAACAATGCAGATGTAATCCATCAGAAGTTCAACATGAAAAAATGTCAATGACGAATTTCAGTTGTCAAACTCTTTCAGAAAAGTAGACTTAACAATGAAGATTCTTCGGGTCTAATCTGAGTTGTTCTTGATCAACTAACTACTGCATCTATTTGCAGAATTGATGATCCATAATGTAGTGAGTCTGTACCAGTATGCAGATACACTAGCATTACAACTGCATTAGTCGAAACGGTAACGCAGGTTAAGCACAAGCAAATTCACTGATAAGGATAAGGATGGCATAAAAGTGTGAATAAATGCAAACGATAAGGGAAAAATAGTCAAAAGAAGCTGAAATCTAGAGCACGTTATAACTTCTGGTCATGCTCTATCAATACAGACTTCATTGAGAGTTATACATAAAGATCAAGCATTTCAAAAAAAGAATCGTTTACATCGTCTTTGAGTAGCCGAAGTTCCTGTTGTGCAGCAAAAGAAAAAAACCTGAAATTTGTGTTAAAGAACATTTTATCCAGCCTCTCTAACTACCACGGCCTTAGTTTCAATTTTATTTTACGGATTTGTTGCACAATAAACACATTTTCAGTCAGTTATATCTAGATACATGTACAACGCTTATCTAATTAGTTGTTAACTTCCTCGAGTATGTGGGATTATTCACTGTCATCCACATATTATTATTCCTTTTACACTTTAAAATTATTATTTTGCTGACTGACAATAACCCTCTGACCTTTACTGTCAACTGATACAGTACATAAACACTGCCCCCACCCCGAATAACTGTGCAACTACGAAAAACATTTTTCTGATGACCTATGTAACTTATAACTTCGTAAAAATATTTGAGTTATATATATATATATATATATATATATATTATATATATAAGGCGACCCATTCCGTCTTAATAGATCAAACTAACCAATCGATCAATGTGACAGTCTGAAACCAAAATGTCACAAATGCACAAATAATGTAAATAAAATCAACCGAAAATCAGTTTTGCCCTCAAATTATTCGACGAATTTTGAAATATTTTTGTGATCAATTTACAAATTGTAAGCATTAATTTAGTTTTTCTGTTGCAGAGATTAACTAATTATCATTATAATTTTCAATAGTATTTCGATTAATTGACTAGTATATAGATCAATCGATGGTGAATGATTGATTAGTATGTTTAAATATGTCCTGGACGAGGTCAATTAACATTGACGCAGTTGATAAGTGCATAATGCACTGATGAAAAAATTTCAATTTCTTCATGACCATCGAAAAATACGATAAAATTACTGCAACAAATATTCGAATAATACATCTGTTTATCTTCATAAATTTTTCTGCCTAATTGACCTTATGAGTGATCTGTGTTATATAAAACACATATCAGAAATTATTCGAAAACAGACTTTTGCAGATTATGTATTCAGCGAACAAGAAAAAGAAGTGTTGGCAAAAGTTAGAATTTATCAGCCATCGGTCACGCCCCAGTGGCTTAATCGTCTACGAGCTCGCCTCGTAATCAGAAGGTCCTGAGTCCGAACCCCAATGGGTGCGTACTGATGAAGAGTCCCAAACTAGGACGAAACGGCTGTTCAGTACTCCCTGCAGGTTTCCCAGTGGTTCTCTAAACGATGTCAGATCCTGTAACCAATCAAACAAAATCCCTACAAAACCAGTACTTGAGAACAAGAACAAAATGAGAAATAACCATAGATAACAAATCGGCGCCACTCAACTTATTGGATCCACTGAACTGTTTAGAAATTCTCCTTAGAGGAGGTTTATGAGAAAGAATAGAAAATATCACTATTTAGTAAAAATAAGATAAAGAAACAAGATCATTATTCAATTTGAGCAGAGAAAAAATAAACACTAGTGCAGAATGACATGAATCCATTTTGTTTCGCTGGTCCTCATCAGCCGCACACAACCTACAATCTTTAATAAATAATAGTCAGAGTAAAATCTGACATATTTTTATCTATCGATAAGAGTGCCATGATCAGATAAAACATTAGGATGACAGGTTAGCTGAAGTATATATACATGTATATATTTCACGGGTTGATTTGTAGGGATTTGTTTTGTTTTACAAGTTTGACCACAGATTGATATCAGTTAGAGAACCTTTGAAAACCAGGGAGTACTGGACAGCTGCTGTTTCATCCTAGTTTGGGAATAATCATCGGCAGTACGCACACACTGGGGGCCGAACCCAGGACCTTCCGGTTACAAAGCAAATTAGTATACCACTCAGTAACTGGGACCCAATTCAATGGCCAGTGCATGAATTCTAACTTCTACCAATTCGTGATTTAGTGCAACCACCAACCAATTTCATTGGCTGTAAATCCATCCTCACAATTGACACTTATTGATGGTCACGCTAAATCACGAATTGGAAGAAGTTAGAATTCATGCACTGGCCATTGAATCGCGTCCCAGTGACTGAATTATTATTATTATTGTTCCCTTGGGTTCCTAGTGGAACATAGGGCTTCAACTGCACGTCTCCACTTGCTTCTGTCTTCTGCTGTACGTTTCACCTGCATCCATGTTAGTCCATACTGTTTCAGCTCCTCCTCACACGATCTCCTCCATGTCACCCTTGGACGTCTCACTCGCCG